CATCAAGACGAAGGGATGAACTGTTTCGAGGCATTGGCCAACTGACAAGACCATCCGAGTCGAGTGGCCTGAGTCTCGCAATTGAAGTTGGCCAGACTGCATTTCACCGACAGACGAAAAGCGAGAAACGATGGCTGGCGAGGATACCCTCGAAACGCGTGTCCCCATTTTGACGTAGCCCAAACTCGAGGGGGGACAGCTCTTGTCCCTTCTACGAGTGGACACCCCTTGCATGCACGTAGCGCAACTTTTCCTCATTTACCTTCTCTTTCACCTCTTCCCTTGATTCCCTGCCTCGGCGCCCCGCCACCTTCTCCGCGCCGAAGATGCCAAGCTGGAACCGGCTACTGTGTCATAGACAAGGCCCATCGAAACCAATGTCAGGCGTGTCGACTGAAGAAGTGCCTTCAGATGGGCATGAACAAGGATGGTAAGTCACCGGCTATCTCACGAGCCCGAACGAATGTAACCACAACCAGGTGGATATAGAGGCGATTGATTGGCTCCCTAAGCAGGTGACTGCAAGTCTGCTAAAGCTAAGTTGGTTACGCTATCTGATGCCTTGCAGAATGCCCCCTCCACTGCATCATTTTCAGGATGGGAGGCAGGACCGGCCTGGGGCTGCACCTCCTCGGGCCGGCTCTCAAAGCAGCAGGAAGGGTGTCTCGCAAAGGTGCACATGTGCTGAGACACAATTTAGTGGAGATGAGATAAAGGGGAAGTAATAGAGAAATAAAACTTTTGAAGCAAAGATTCTGCTAATCCTGTAGCCCGAAATACGAGTGCTTTTATCCCAAAAATAAATTCATACAAACAAACATACATGCATAAACAATGACATACATATCTCAGCACGTGTAGTCCTAAATACATTCATGTAGGATTGCATGTACTCATACATAAATACAACCATATATGCACACGTATATAAACAAACACACACGCATATATATATATATATATGCATGGGGGGGTGGATGTGGGTGTAAGTGTGGGCATTGGCTGGTGTGTAGTAAACGATACAAAGATGCATAGAGGTTCCAGGCATAAGTTCATTCGTTTCTAGGGTTTATTAGGACAGATGGTAGATGCATTGACATAACTCCTCTTCGCCGTGCCGGCTGGCCAAATGAATGACTGCGGGACAAATCGGAGGTAATCGGCCTTTGCTGAAGCCTTGCTTGAACCTGTGTTGGATTGTTGGTCGGCCAGGGCCTTTTGCCCTGCTGCCCGTGCTCCAGATAATGAAATAATTCGCTGTACATTCGCAATCATATTCTTGCTATTTGTTGAATAGGAACTCAATATGTCTGTTAGTTGAGTCTCCCACATTGTTATGAGTAGAAGGCTCTATGCATTATCTGCATTCCACTTGGCTCTTTCTTCAGAAACGATTTCCCATCGGGGCCGAATTGCAATTTCCATGTCACCAGGGTTTTATTAATTCCCATAACAGGATTTAACATCCGATTGTACGCACACGGCCAACGAGTTGCCGGAGCTATGCGGTTTTCAAGGTAAGCCAGATCAGTCCAAAATCACATTTTCTGATGCGATTGTCGTCGATACCATAAACCTCCATTCGTCATTACATTCTACAAAGTTCTTGTGTGTCATCTAAGGTTTGTAGCTTTTAAGATATTTTCTAAAAATCTAGATAGCTCAGGCTATATTAGGCGATGGAAGAACCGATAGCTGACTTTCGTGCCCTGAGCAACACACGTACGCACGCATCTCATACATAAGCAAACATTAAAGTAGACAAAGTGACATGAAAAGGGCATAAACATGACATTCCACAGCATTATATACACTCAGTTACATTATATTGTATTGTTATGTGTATAGCATGCGAAGATTAGATATAGCTTTGTTAGCTTATTCTTCTAAACCCAGTATTTCTACATTATTAGCTGAGTGATTTTGGTGCTTTTTTATATAAATGATAATTTCTGGCTGTGATGAAGTCTGTTGTACAGGAGAAGAAAGCTAAGCCCGGATTCATAGGGGTTGTAGTATGGTGATCCGAGGATTTTTTTTGCACACTGCTATTTTATCCTTCTTTGGTTTCTGATAAAACTAATAAAAAATCCCTTCTAACCGCCCTCTCAAATTTAAAGAAATGTGCAAGAACAGGAATTACTTAAAAAATACTCTGAAACGCAGCTTCGCTTTACATTTGCAAAATCTTATCTCGTCTTATTATGAATAGAAAGAGAATGCCAGTTTCCAACTGGTTAGGGGGACCTTCGTTACGATTGAAAATGCATGAAGAAGAGATTCGTTGGTCGCTGAACGTCACAACAAAAACAAATCATGGCAGGGCAACAGAATTGACCCTAAAATTAATTTATTCGGAACTTCGCATTAAACTAAAGCCACGTCATAACGATGTTATCTCATGGACGTCATCGAAACACAGTAACTTTTTTGAATGAGGTGCTGTGGCATCGTGAAGCATTATATCAATTTGAATGTAGTAGACACTACTCGCTTTCCATAACCTTTTACGATCTCTAGTTCCTATCCAAGACTTGCTGATAGTTAGTTAGCTGCTTATTTTGTACGTTCATTCTCAATTGATATTTACCTGTCCCTTGTCCTGGAAGTTTAATATATGGCATTTCCTGCCAGTCACGAAGACTATTTAGTTCTATCCCACATGGTATATATACTCATAAGTTAAAAAGAAAATATACACCTATAGATAGATAGATGAGTATTCTTGATTTAGTGATAACTTGAAGTTTTTGCAATAATAAGTTTCATGTCTGAAGATGTCTGCTATGCGGCGTAGAGAAGCAAAGCTCAACCCATTTTCACCCAAAACGAAGTAGGGTATCTTGTGGACTGTGTCAACCTGAACGTCATGGTATAGTCAAACGGCTGCAGAACAACGTGCATCAGCCGTCGCATTCTATTAGATCGATTTACGAATCTCTTCATCATACACTTTGTATGAAATGAAATTCTCCATACTAATGTTATCTCAAGAAAGTCATCTAAACTCAAATACTCTTCGTATATTTTTTGTCTGACCGCACCACTAACGGACACCAAAATAGACCGATACCACTTTGAAGCCAGAAAGAGGACGGCCCACCTTGGTCTATTCAGTGCTTAGGCAAGTGATGGCGAGGCCGCCAACAGATTGACATTTTGTCTGTATCCTGCGCCAGTGGCCTAGTATCAGAACTGACGAGCTTACTTCCATTTAGAGTAAGAGTGTTGAGTGAAGAGATTCGAAGGTCGGTTTCACCAGAAGACGACGGCGGATTCCTCTTGACCAGCTGCCGATTGGCTTTACTGGAAGATTCATGCTGACG